CTCGTCGTCCGTTTCCGGGGCGATCGGGTCCGCCGCAGTCGGATGACCCGGCCCGAGGAGGAATGGGGCCTCCAACCACCTCCCCCTCCCCGGTCCCCCTTCCCTAGAGGTCACTCTCCCCTCCCACCTCACTGGCCCAGCACTTCCGGTTCCGCAGGGGCCGGTGCCCCTGGTACTCACCCCGGCGCGGTCCCCGTCGCCGCCGCTGCCGTAGTCGCCGCCGCCACCGTAGTCGCCGCCGCCTCCCGACACTGCCGCCCGGCCTCTGAGAGGCAGCGCGCGGCCCCCGCACGCTCCACGCCCGCCCCGCTCTGCGCGCTCCCGCCAGCGACGCTCGTCTGAGTCGGCGCGCGGCCGTTGCCCTCAGAGCCGGGTCTCCAGCCCTCCCAGCGCTCCCATTGGCTCCCGGGCCCGGGCGCGCGCGACGTTTCACGCGGGGCACGTTTCTCTCATTCATGCGGCTCGCGCCGCCGCGCACGCCCCCGCTCACTCGCTCATTCACCCACAGCCCCCACCCTCACGCCGCTCCAGGGCGTGCGCGCGAACCCCGGCGACCGAGGCGACCTCGCAGCCTGATTGGCTACAAGGGCGCAGCGTCTAAGCACGCGAGAACACGAGGACGCGCACGCAAGGCCGTCGGGTTCCTGCGGGGACTGGGAGAGGCGGCTGGGCTTCGAGCGCAGGAGCCGGAGGTGGGGAAGTGGCCGGGTGGCTCTCCCCTTTCCCGGCGTGCGGTTTTGTGTTCCCACTGGCTCCAAACAGAAATCCTCAAAAGTTAACAAACAAATGTATGTGTGTCCTGGAAATGCCCAGCAGCAAGCGGCTGCCCGCTCGAGTTCACCAGATCCCCTCCACGTCAGTGTGGTACAGTCCAGACAGGCTTCCAGGGTCACCAATCGCGAAACGCCGGCCGTCTTCCGCCTCCGCCCGGCCTGCGTCGGGCCAGCCGCGCCGCCGCTGGATTGCCCTCACCCCGATCCCTTTTTTTTTTTTTTTTTTTTTTTTGGATAATGAAAACTTTATTGGAAACCATTTTGATGGAGCAGCCCTCAGTCCGGAGTGTCCTGGATGGACCAGCAAGCTCTCGGGGGGAATGGGATGGTCAGGGCTGCGGCTCTCGCGCAGCGGGGGCTCCGCGACCAGATGGGTCAGTGTGGGGTGAAGTTCCTGCTGAAGACCCCGGGAAGGAGGAGGAGAAAGGAGCCCGACAGCCGTGGTGCCAGCCTTGGAAGGAGGCGCGGCCGTCCCCCAGTGCAGACAGACTAGCCCCCCTTACTGGCCTTCGTTTTCCTCTGCAGCACAGGGCTGGCTCCCGCCTCCCTCACCTGGCCCACAGGTTGGAGGAAGAAGGTTCTCCTGAAATTCCCGTCCCTGGCGAGCACTCGCCGGCCCTGCCCCGTCACAGCAGCACACTTTGCCCTAATTAGCCCTGACAACTGTGAGCCAGGTCTCGGCCAGCTGTTCTCTCCTCATTTAGCTCAAGGCCGTTTCTCATTTGAAAGCAGCTCTGGTGGTTATGTAAGTCCTTCCCAAAGAGCGATCACCAGCCACCTCTTTGCAGCCAAGGTTCCTCACCAGTGAAGTGTGATTCTAAATCCTGCCATTTCCTTAGTGTCAAATGTTGCCCTGGATTAGCTGAGCTGATACTTACAGATAACAAGGTAAAAGGCTAAAGTTTATCGTGTTTCTAGGATCTAATCTAGTTCCTTCTCTGACGTGGCATGTATCTTGGGTTCAAGTTACTTCTCGCTCAGGACTCCATTCTACCATTTATTGCAACACTCGAGCCTTTTTTTTTTTTTTTTTCCTTAAAAGATGTCTGTTTTTGGCCCTCCCTGGTGGTTAAAGCACAGCACTAAAAAGCTAAAGCCACTTCAGCATGAGTTCCATTCCCGCCTGCCCTGGAGGTGACCCACATGGCGGGGCAGATCTCTCCTGACCCGCCAGCTGCTCCCCTGGGCAGTGTACTTCCTCGATCTGCCTGTTCAGCTCCCCATTCTCTTTGGTGAAGCCTCTCACTGCCCCTGAGCCTCTGGCCTGTACCCCAGTTCTGTATGCACAAATAAATCTTTAAAACAAAAAAAAGATATGTTTTTTTATGTATGCACACAAGAACTGGGGTCTTAACCTGAGGTGCAGGGGTGAGAGGATTCACCAGAGACAAGTGGACAGCAGAACAGGCAGATCTACTGAACTACACAGCCTAGGGGGCAGCAGGGAGAAGTGAGGTCTGTTGTGCTTATGCTGTATGTGGGTCAGCTCCCTGGCAGGGGATCGAACTTATGGTGAAATGGCTGGCGGTAGCTTGATGGCGCTGGAACTTTAATCTCTGCGTCCCAGGGAGACCAGCGCTCAAGAGTGTTGGTTTTTTTATTTTGTTTTTGCCTTTTTCAAGAATTGTTTTTAATGTCAATACTTTAAAACCTTATAAAAGGTAAAGTTATTGGAAATACATTTATGAGTGTCTTCCTCCAAAAAAGGTTAAACTTACTTCCTCTGGAAGAAACCAAATTTCATTCTGTATATTTCTCTTCAAGATATTTACAAGTTTCACAAAATAGGCCTCTTCTCCTATTTCCAACAATGCTAACATATTTATTAAAAAATAAAATTTCTGCCCTCCCTAGTGGCGCAGCGGGTTAAAGCACTGCACTGAGAAGCTAAAGCCACTTCTGCATGAGTTCGATCCCTGCCTGCCCCGGAGGTGACCACATGGTGTGGCAGACCTCTCCTGACCCGCCCGCTGCTCCCCTCAGCAGTGTGCTTCGTCGATCTGCCTGTTCTGCTCCCCACTCTGTCTCTGGTGAAGCCTCTCACCCTCCGCATCTCTGGCCTATACCCCAATTCTGTATGAATAAATCTTTAAAAAATAAAATTTCAACTTCCCACCATTTAGCCTAATGAAATCTCTGTGACACTGCTAGATGTCAAACTGCTAGATGAGCACCAACAGTGGCATAATTACTACCCCAAGGCTGAGATAACCATTTTCTTGTCAGTATTTCTTAGCATTATTCAGTACACTTCCTGGAAAGGATGTTTAATAGAACCTAAGTTTCTGCCAGCCACTTCTTCTAAGAAGTATTCCACAACAAAATTTAGGCTCTAACAATGGGATCTCCATACCACCAAGCTTCAAATATATTACTTTGCTATGTTTATCCAATTACACTGTATTTTTTAGGCTGGTTTATACTTTTTCAAGTCCTCTTCATTTGCATTTTCTCAAACCTACAGATGGCAAAGCACAGATTTATTTCTAGCTTAACACCACTGGTAAATAAACAGGCAAGAGGGCCCTCCCTGGTGGCACAACAGGTTAAATAAAGCACAACACTATGAAGCTATCTGCAGCTACAGCATTCTGAGTTCAATCCCAGGCCAGGGAGGTGACCCACATGGCGCAGACCTCCTGTCTCGCTCACTATTCTCCTTTGCAGTGTATTTTAGTCATTTTGCCTGTTCTGCTCCCCACTCTGTCACTGGTGAATTCTGTCACCCCCAACACTTCTGGCCTGTACCCCAGTTCTTGTAAGTATAAGTAAATTAAAAAAGCAGGCAAGAATAAAATGCTTGGGTTTGGAAGCAAAGGAAGAATGCCTTGTCCTTCAGCACCAGTACCAGCTCGCTGCCTTCTCTCCTATCTGTATGAAATGTTTTTGCTTGTGATAAAAGTTTCTCCCCATGTTCACCATCCCCTTCACTCCAGCACTTTCTTCCAAACAGTTTGACATTTGAAAAATAAAACAGTATTAAGAGCACACACCCATCATGAAAATTCTCTCCAAGAGTCCAGGTATGCTAAGGTATCCTATTGGGAAAACTGACAACAAACCTTCCCCACCCCACCTTTTCCCCAGCCCTCCAGGCTCAAGTTTCCAATGTCTGTGTGGCATCTCCACTTGAATAACAAGCATGTTTCCCAAGTAGACCTCTAATAGATTTTTATTCCTGAGTTTCCCCAATCTCATATCCAAACTAGTTGCTCTGGTTAGAAAAAAAAAACCTGGGGAATCATCTTTGATTCCTCCCTTGTCCTCACCACTCCCATCAGCCAGTCCTATCCAGTCCTATCAATTTTACTTCCAAAATTATTGCACTATCACCAATACAGCCCACTGTGTGTGGGGGCGTGAGGGCTGTTTGGTCCCCAGCCGGGCAACCGACCCGGATATGGCACAGCAGACTTCTGCCTTGCCCGCTGCTCTCCTCAGCAGTGTATTTCAGTACATCTGCCTGTTCTGCTCCCCACTCTCTCAGGTGAATCCTTTAACTTCCCATACCTCTGCCTACACCCCAGTTCTACACAAAAATAAAATCTTTCAAGAAAACGCCAAGGGACCTACGCACCACCCCCCCTGTGCTGCCCTAGGCCAGTTACCCAATTCTCCCGCTGGAACAATCCCCTAACTTGTGTCCTTCTGCTCTTGCCTCTATAATCCGTTTTCCACGTAGCAATGATCTTGTCAAAATGTAAATGGATCATGAAGTTCCTCTTTTAGTCACCTATCGTATTCCCTATCTAGAATGGCTCCTGGCAAACGGGGTATTTAGTGCCTATCTGTGCAAAGAATGAATGAAGGGCAACATCAGACACTTACCAAAGGAGCTAAGTCCAAACTAGGTAAACCAAACAACCCTTCGCCAGAGATCAAAAAGGGGCTTAGCCCATGAAAGATTAATTTACACTTTGACTTGGGGCTGGCTCCAAACAGAAATCAAACAGGAAAGCCAGCTACAGCTGGGCAACTGCTGCGCTCTCACGCCTCTCCAGTTCCTCATACAGTAAGCCAGCACTGACAAGAGTTTTAGCACCAATCTACCTAAGCCCAGAGGGCAGGGAACATCACTAAAACCACTCCCAGCTCACAGTAGGCCTTTTCTCCACTCTAAGCATTCTGCAATAAATCACTCTAATAATGTTTCTATACTTGACTTGGGGGGAGGGGGGGCGCAGTGGGCCCTGTGTTTAAAAATTACACCAAGTTCTGTGATATTGCAAAAATATTTATTAAAATAGTATTTTTTCAAGTGTGACCTTTATAAGAAGGAGTTCTAATTCATTCGTCCTGGGATGAGTGGGTAAAATGAGATGACAAGTATTAGATACAGAATATAAAACAGAACAACTCCATCATACAAATAAGTTCACAAGTAGCACTGTAGACGAAATGGGATTTTCCAGGGCCTCACAATTCACAGTGGCACCTTGGGCGATCTAAGAAACGAACTATATTTTCATGGTCTCCTTCTGAATTGAGATTAGAGGAGTCAGGTCACCACCCCCTGCCTGGAGAGGTCCAGTAAGCTTTTACTGGCCACCATTTACTGGCCAGCCTGGCCGCAACCGAGTCTCATACCTCAACCCATCTGCCTTTGAGTTGCCAGCTCCCCGGCCCAGGCAGCACGTCTTCCTGCTGACCTCTACTTGAGATCCATGAAGCGGATGTCCATAATAAGAAGAAAGTTCTTAGGCAGTGGGCGGGGGGCTGGTGAGAGGACGGTGAACACCTGGTGCTCCAGATCCACACTGGTCACCACAATGAAGCCGGCCACGCTGGTCTCAGACAGGTTCTCCTCCGTGCCCTCAGCAGTGCTAACACTCAGCAGGTGGTGCACCATATCTCGGCCAGGGGTGACAGGCACTAGTTTGAGCTGATTGTCCTCCTGAGACATGCCCAAAGGGAGGCATGAGTCTGGGATGGTGGGTGCCCCAACTTTGTAGATTTTCACATCTGAAAACTTGACATTGAAGGCATGGGGATAGAAACAACCCCGAAATCCATAGAAATACTCACGAATTCGCTCATCCCGACATTCCCTCCGGAAGTCCTTGGAGCGTTCCACCACCCCCCCTGACTTAGGGAGCAGCACAGTGCGTACAAAGTGAGGCAGGTCCCGTTTTAGTTCATTGTACAGACGTTCTTGATCCAGGACTACGACGACGTCCACCTCAAAAGCAGAAGCTGCGTGCACCAGGGCATGATAACCAGAGCCCTTGACCCAGCCACAGGTGTTAATGACACAGCCACTCACAGAGGCCCTTCGGTTCACCTCGCACCTCTGGTTGAACACGTCTGCTAAACGAGATGTGATCTGTAAAAGCAAGCATCAGGTTGAGGAAACAAAGATTCAAGAACTGATAAACCCAGAGGACAATCTTAATGGCTAGACTTTTGATCCCATATGTTGACTTACTTTTTTTCTTTTAAAGATTTATTTATTTGGGTGCTCCCTGGTGGTGCAAGGGGTTAAAGAACAGCACTATGAAGCTATCCCCAGCCACTGGGAGCTACCTACAGTTCCCAGCCAGGGAGCTGACCTACATGGCACAGACCTCTCCTGTCTTGCCCGCTGCTCCCCTCAGCAGTGTATTTCAGTAGATCTGCCTATTCTGCTCCCCATTCTGTCTCTGGTGAATCCTCTCACCCCCTGCACCTCTGACCTGCACCTCAGTTCTTGTATGAATAAATAAATCCTTTTTTAAAAAATGAAAATACAGCGAATACACATTTGAAGCTACCTTTTCTGAAATCATGTGGCAGTGACAGAAGCTGAGAGACCCAAGAGACAGCTGCAGACAGCTTTAACTACAAACTGCCCAACAGCTTTCAACCCTGAGAGCCACCCTTCCTTCATCCCGCCCCGGCTCTGACCTTGTTGTAAAGCTTGATGTTGGTGCCAGGAGTAGTGGAGCCAAAATGATACACCAAAGGGGCCTGGATTGAGAATCCCTCTTCAACATCTGCTGGCCGCTCAATGTAGAGGGCGCCCATGGTCCCGGGGATGGACACTGAGCCCTGACCCACATCCAGCTCGACGTAAGTGGGACGGCGGCCCAATCGCACTGCGTAGTTGAGCAACAGGCGGCACACAGTGGACTTGCCCACATCTGTGGGGCCCACTACCATCACCCGAGGCCCTCGCTCTTCTTCTTTCTCCGCCTGCCTCCTCATCTGCTCCAGGGCTGTATGAGTGTTGAGGTAAAGCAACATAGGCGTGTCCTTGGAGACATAAGCCACCTCAGTGCGGCCACTCAGCTGTACGGAACAGCCATGCCAAGTGAAAACAGCCACCTTGGCTCCAGCATCGAAAGTGAATTTCTTATTTCGGGTCAGTTCTGTGCCGAAGATTTCTGCCATGCCAGCCAGCAGCTCCAACTGAACTGACTGAGATGCCTCCACCTCGAAGCGAAGTTCTGTTTCTCGCTCCAGTTCAAATTTAGTTGTTGGCTTCTTGTCATCATTGGTCTCCTCGCCCATCTTTCCTCTGTAGCTGTCAGGCCTAGAACACAAATTAAGTCAGACCTACACACAAGTCAGGACTCCCTGTTTAAAACTCCCCACTTGCAGATTTTGTCTCCCCACTGCCTGGCTGCATCTAAGGAGGCATCTCTTTTCCCTAAACAACCTGTCCCTTTTAGATGCAAGAAAGAAAAAATAAACTGCCCCCCAGGTGTCCCCTTAATATTTCCCCTTATCTGATTATCACCTACCCAACTATATATTGTCTGCCCACCCCCACCAGAATGTAAACAAGGGGTGTGTGTGTTTATTGCTGCATCTCTAGTACCTAGAATAGGGCTTGACAACCCGGATAGACACCTCAATAAATACACCACGACCCTCCCTGTTGGCGCAGGAGTTAAAGTTTCATTACAATCAAGCTGCCAGCAGCCACTGCATCATAAGTCTGATCCCCAGCTAGGGAGCTGACCCACATTGGGCAAGAGACCTCTCCTTTCTCGCAGATCCGCCTGCTCTGCTCCCCACTCTGTCTCTGGTGAGTCCTCACCTCCCTGCCCACCAGCCCCGCCCGCACCTCTGGCCTGCATCCCTCCAGATCTTGTATGCATAAACAAAAATCAATTTTAAAAACAAATACACCAAGTGGCTAAACAACTCGGACATAAGAAGAAAATTCTATGTACAGGTCGCAGGCTTGAGCCCCCCCACCCTATCCCCTGGGATCCTCCGGACTCGGAAACGCCAGCCCGTTCCCAGTAAGAGCGCGCATCCGGGATGCCGTCGGCCCTGCAACCACTAACCCCTCCACACAAGTCCTGTAACCGCCTAGCCTCCTCCTCAGCTGTCAGCTACAGGTAACTTACACTTCCGCACACCGAGCGCCTTCTGGGGGTTAACAGGGACGTTAAGGGAAGGGGGAGATCACTTCCTAAACTAGAAAACGCCGCGGAAAAGTGAAGTTCTTTCCAAAGCAGGACCGCAGCTCTAGGTCCAGCCCCGACGTAGCCTCCCCGGACACCGAGGCCTGCGCAGGCCCCAGGGGGGTGACGGTTGCGCCCCTGAGCAGCTTACCTCACCTGCACCGCCACGAGCCGGGTCCGATGTATCCAGAAGCCTCCGGCTCCGGGGCCCCGCGCCGCGCCGGAAGCAGAGGCGCTCGCACATGCGCGGTGGAGCCGCCTCGGCCGCGCGCAACTCGACAATCACGGAGCTGTGTCCGGACGCCGCGCGCTCGCGCCGCCGCTGAGGCTTCTGGGAGTTGTAGTTAAGGATTGTTTTGGTCGTGACGCCATAGGTGGGCGGGGCGGCGGCCGTCATTGTTCGCGAAGTCTGCGGGAGGGGGTCGGAGGCGTGCGGGTGACGCCCCCGCGCGGGGCGGGGACCGGCTGAGGGAACTGCGGCCGAGGATGCTCCCGCCCATCTGAAACCCTGGAAGGGGAAAGGCGGTGGGAACTGGAGGACTCGCTGCCTCGATCCCACGATGATAGCCTGCGCCCCTGGACCACAAGCTGGGAAGTGGGGAAATTAGCAAAACCCTATTTGGGCGCTGGGGAAGCAGGGAGGAGACGATAGTGGAAGAGCCCACTCTTACCTGACTCTGCTTGGCACCAAGAGGGCATTAAGAAAAATTACTATTTTATAAAGCCCCAAGAGTTTCTTCCATTTAGTCTGTCTCTAGAAATTCTTCATTTCCATCAGCTTATCTCTTATTGAGTCGCGAGTTTGTTGGGGACTGTTTCCCTGCCTAAATCCCTGACAATTCTACAAGGTCAGTCATTTACCCTGCAGACAACAGGTCTATTATCATCTCCCCAGTCTGAGCTTTGGAATGTTGTATTCTTGCTCACTGTGTGACTTTGTTAAAATCATTGGTTTAAAGTCTCTGAGACTCAAGTTTCTTGTCTGTAAAGTTGGGATAATAACAGTACCCAACCCCTTAAAGTTGTTTGTAAGGTTGACTGGCACGATAAATGTAAAGTACTAAGCACAAGGCTTGTGACACAGAAGACATCTGATGGCAGCTTTTAAGTTTTTATTATAGTTGAAGGAGGGGGAGCTATAATAATGTCCACTTGTATGGTACTTTGCATTTTTCAAAGCCCTCTCAGGGATCTTCAGTTACAGCTACCCTATAAAGTTAGCTTTATTATCTCCAATTTCAGATGAGGGTGGAGATTAAGATAGGTAAAGGGACTTGCCCAAGCTAGCACTCAAACCCAGGATTTTGGAGTCTGAGTCCAGTTACTGTATACTGTAATGTTGTAATAGCAAACTCTTACTCAGTGTTCTATAGGCTTCACATGTATAAATTAACTTACTCCTACTTCTGTGATGTATAAACCATAATTGCCACCATCCCTACTTACAGGTAAATCCTTTTCTCTGTCTGTCTCAATTGGTTCATCCAGATTGTGAAACTAAGGATGACTTTTGGGTTATTTTTCCTCCCACTCCTTAGCATTCGCTTTTCCAGATAAGGCTATATCTATGCTTCCCTGTTTTCTTTGATTTGCTTTCCTTTTTCATTCATTCATCATGCATGCATTACTCCTCTTTTTTTTTTTTAAGGTTTATTTATGCATACAGAACTGGGGTACAGACCAGAGGTACATGGGGTGAGAGGATTCACCAGAGACAGCGTGGGGAGCAAAGCAGGCAAATCTTCTGAAAATATACTGCTGAAGGGAGCAGTGGGCAAGACAGGAGAGGTCTGCTGCACCATGTGGGTCAGCATCTTGGCTGGGGATCGCATTCATGCACAGTAACTCATGTTTACTAAATGCCTATCACCTGCCAGGCACTTTTCAGGTGTCTGCACAGTTATCTCATTTTACTTCGTGTAAAAATATTATTTGCTTCCTTTAGCAGAAGAGGAAAAGTGGGGCCCAGAGAGGATCAATCCCTGGCAGATGCTGCCTGGTCAGTCTGGGCGGAGCCAGGACCCCAGCTTAGCTCTCTCAGACGGTAGCCAGACACCTGCGCCTGCCTGAAGAAATCCACTCAGCGGCTGCTTGGTGAGCACCTCCTGGAGGACTGCTGTGCTCTAGGCATTGCAGTCCTGGGGTGCAGAGAGCAGCTTCCCAGAAGACCTGCCTCAGAAAGTTTACAGCCCAGTAGGAACCTTATGTAACGGTCTCTGTTCATGAAGCACAGTCATTGAGAGATAGATGGGAAGAGGCTCCGGAAAAGGGAGATGGCTCCCTGGGTCTAGGGCTCCTTCAGGGGAATATCAAGCTAGGCTTTTGAGGTTTCCAAATGCTCAGTGCTTGGGGCACTATTTGTCCTTGATGACCATTAGCATGCGTCAGTCTGGACTGGCCTCCCAGTTGAAACATAACATCTCGAAGGCATGGGCACACACCTGACTCTGCATCCTACTCCCGGGCTCATCAGCCTGGCCACCTCCTGGCCTCCAGTCCTGCCACCGTCCCTCCATCCCTGCGCAGCCCTCTCCTTCCCCAGGTTCTAGCTCCTTGGCCACATTGCCTTCCTCCTCAGCAACCAGCCTCTCGTTGGCACCCGACACCCACCCACACCCCCGTGCTCCCACCTCCCTGCATCACTCCTCCAACCCCCTCCCTTGAAGCCGGCCCCCTCCCTCCCTTCCTCCCGACCCGCCTCCTGTGTCTCCCAGCCCTGCTCTGACGTGGGAGGTGAGGGGGGTGGGGGGATGGATGACTCACTGTGTTATGATGCAGTTCCACAACACACAGCTACATTCACCCACAGACCGAGGTACAGACGAGAGACAACCTCTGGCCCCCCAGCAGCTGGCCAGCTTTGCAGCCCAGTCTTGAGCCCCTAACTCCCCTCCCCTGGCCCCATCCCCTTCCCAATTGAAGGAGCGGAGAGAAGAGCGAAGAGTGAGCAGAGAGATTGAGATTGAGAGAGAGAGAGATAGACGGAGATCTCTGGAGCAGACCTCAAGGTGAGGGGGCAGCCCTTCTCCAAATGAATTTTTTTCCCCTTTGCAAATTTCCTTCTCCTGCTGCGTGTGGCTTTTTCCCCCTTTGCAAAAGCATTATTCATCCGCCCTTTGTCCTCCCTTCCCCCTCCCTGCTGCCTCCGCTCCTCTCTCAGCTCCTCCATCCCTCTCCGAGCTCTGCCGGCTCCCGCACTTCATTCCCGGCAACTTTGGCTGCAGCGTCAGGCATCAATGTTTATTGTTTGGCGGCTGGTGCAGAGACCCCCAAAGCCCGCCCTGGAAGCGGCTGCGCGGCTAATTATTTGGACCATACCATACGCAGAACGCCAGCCCAGGGGAGGCCGAAGCTAGAGAGCAGATGAGAAAATCCGCTGCGAGCAGGTGTCCCCTCCCTTTCCCCCCTTGCCGAGAGGCGAGGGATTCGCACCTGGTTCCCAGAGCCGCCGCCTGGGCGCCCGTGCTGTCTGGGCTTGCTCAGCTCCCCTCAGCCCTCCCTCGCCCCCACCTCCCACGGTGCAGCCCCAGCTCACACCGGGGAGCATCTTCTCCCCTGCTCTCGCTCGCCTTTGTTTATCCCCCAGTCGTTTGCCCAACTCGCTTCTGCCTGCCATCAGATCAAGGATGGGGACGAAATGACCCCGACCCCCCATTCTGCGAGGGATTCTCCGCCTGGTGCAGCTTCTCCTTGCTTGGATGGGAAAGCAGGGGCGAGGGAGGGAGGCGTGACGGAGGCTGGGGAAGGAGCCTAGAGCAGGGCCTTGGGGGGCCCCCCTACTGAGGGCCCCTAGAAGTAAGGGTGCCAGGTAGCCCGGACTGAGGGGAACTTGCAGGCAAAGTTGGAAGACGACACGAGAAGTGGACAGTGAGGAGGACCCGTGTCCTGCCACCAATGTCACCCCGATCTCAGCCCAAGGTGTCTTTCCAGGACCCAGCCAGGATATGAGGACTGAAACTGAAGCTGGTCTCTTGCAGGGGGTGGGGTTTGTGGAAGAGCAGAACCACGGAGGACGGGACCAGCCCTGCCGCCCCGGTCACCAGGCCCCTGCTCCACTTGGTGGCCCGCGTTGCCCAATAGCTGACCAAGACTTGGTTAAACCACCCAGAGCAGGCCAGAAGGAAGGAGCAGGCAACAGCCCACCTGCTTATCAACCACCAGAGGATGCCACCCTCCTTATCATAGCCCCAGACCGCTCTCACTTTGGGGCTGGAATCTGGGCAGATACCTACAGCTTCAAGATTCCTAATCTGACCGACAGGAGCCCCGCAGTTATTTTATCTTCTGCTGCCAGCAGGGGCCCTGCCCTTGGGAGGTGGGAAGAGACCTTTGCTGCCTTGCGCCCTAAAGCACAGCTTTTGGCAATGAGGGTCCCCCTCATTAAGCTGCTCCCACACTCCAGCACCCAGGCAGTCCTGCCCAGCTGTGGAGTGCCGACCCCCCCACACTGCACCCCGCTTCTCACTGGCTCCAGTTGTCAGGTTTGCCTGAGGAAAGGGTGTTCTCTCCCGCAGGCCCTCACCAGGGGCTGAGACAAGTTAGTGTAGAGCAGCGGGTGCTGCTGTTGAGCGGGAGATGGATGGAGGTGCGGACTGGGCAGCACCTGCCAGAGGTCTCTGGTATCAAAGGAGACGCCCGGAAAGTTCTACATCCCGCAGAGGTTGGCGCAGGGGGTGTGCCTGCCCCCTCCCCTACAAATGTGCAAAGGACCAGTGCCAGGGCCAAGAAGCCAGGAAAAAGCAGCTCCCCAGGAAGTGCAACTTTACAAGGCCAGTGCATGTGGGATGCAGACAGGCGAAGGCCTGGAAAGCCAGAGAGCACCTGCAGATGACTTTGCTCCCATGGCAGCGTCTGTGCCAGCGGGATGCCCTCAGTGGAAAATGGCTGAGGCTGCTCCCGCCCCAGGAGGGCGAGACACCACCTCCCAGGCTATGGCACCGGCGGCCTGGCACCGCTGCCAGGCTTGCCAGAGCAGCCGGGTATCCAGGGGACAGGGAGCGCGCACTGGAGGCAGAGGAGGATTGGGCATGACGGGACGCAGGGGCGGGCGAGCTGAGCCCCATCCTCTCCAAGCCCTCAGGAAGTGGCTGCTCTCCTAATGCACCTTCCCCTCTCCCCAGGTGACTTCCATTTCTATCTGGTTCACGTCTGGGGGGGCCCTGGCCGGGCAGCCCCCCCACATTTCTCCTGCCCTAAAACACGGCTCTAGCCAACCTGCTCCGCTGCTTCACCTGCGACCGTCTCTGTGGGGGCTGCACGGCGCCAGCCCCTCCGGCCCACCAGGGCATCGTCCTCCAGCCCGTCATGCCCAGCTGTGACCCCGGCCCCGGCCCCGCCTGCCTCCCCACCAAGACATTCCGCAGCTACCTGCCCCGCTGCCACCGCACCTACAGCTGTGTCCACTGCCGGGCACACCTGGCCAAACACGATGAGCTTATCTCCAAGGTAGGCCAGGTGGGGGCCTGCCACGCCTTTCTTCTTCCTCCCACCAGGACGGCCCAACATCACCTGGTGGGGAGGCCAAAAGCCTGACCTCGTCCTCCTTTCCCTGCCCCCCCGGGGACTCAGGCAGTGGGCAGGGCGAGCCACTAGTCACTGTCTGTCCTGTGTCTCCACAGTCCTTCCAAGGGAGCCATGGCCGAGCCTACCTGTTTAACTCCGTGTGAGTCCGCCTCTCCCCCCACGCGTGTGTGCGTGCATGCAAATCACCTTCCTCGGTGGAAAAAAGGGGGTGAACCCGGGGAAGGTGGCCTCTCGCCTTCGGCTTGTGCCTCTCCTTTGGCAAAGGGGCCAGAGACCCAGCTCCCTGGCGGGAAGCGGGCAGAGCGAACATTGTCACCGTGGAGAAAGAAGGCTGAGCACTAGTCCTAGACAGGAGGGCTGCTGAGGGCAGGGGTGAACCCCTGGGCGGGTGCGCTCCCCAGATGGGCTGTCTGGGGGCCGGCCTCACAGAGCAACCCGACTCGGCCCTGCTTCCCCAAACAGGGTCAACGTGGGCTGTGGGCCGGCCGAACAGCGCCTTCTACTCACAGGGCTCCACTCTGTAGCTGACATTTTCTGCGAGAGCTGCAAAACTACGCTGGGCTGGAAATATGTAAGTACCTGGGACGAGCAGCTCCATACAGTGGGGTCTCCGTGACCACGGCAGGCCTTTGCGCGACCCTGAACGTCCAAGAGCGTCCCAGAGCCAAGAGCGAATAGCCGGGCTGGAAGTGGCCTGGGCGTGGGGGTGGGGCAGCGCAGATGGTACCTGGCCGGGAGGGACGCGGCCCTCCACTCACTGCTTCCCCTCCACCAGGAACAAGCCTTTGAGACGAGCCAGAAGTACAAGGAAGGGAAGTACATCATTGAAATGTCACACATGGTGAAGGACAACGGCTGGGACTGAGGGGTCAGGCAGGCTGCGCCCTCCCTCCGCATGCCCCACCCCCCCCACACCTGTGTCCTGGCCCTGCCAAGCTGCCCGTACCAGCATGAGTTCTGGCCCACCCCTGGGGGAACCCTGCTCCAATGACCCCTCCCCTGCCTCCACCTCATCACTCTCAGACCCCTTTGGCACAGGGGTCTGGGCTCCCCAGGGGTACCCAAGGCTCCGGAGTGGACACCAGTCAGGGAGGCAGAACTGGGGAAAAGGGATGGAGGTGGGTCCTTGCAGCCCCCAAGTCCTGGGAAACTGAGGCGAGAGCAGAGCCTGACTCAGACAGAGAGGCTGTGGGAGGAACCGGCCCCACCTCTCGCTGAGTGAAGGAGGACAAGCCTTGAGTCATGGGCCGGTAGATGGCAGGCCACATGTGGATCAGCAGATGAGAAGCAGCTTGGGTCGGAGCGAAATCTTGGCCTCCGAACCCGGGCAATGCCAGCCTCTGAGGGTGACGTTCCCCACGCCCCTCGGTAGGAGAAGGGACCCCGGGGGTGGAAGGAATAGGCTCAAATCCCAGGTCCTGGGAAAGAATAAAAGCATCACAGGGGTTTCCATTTCACTCCACTTGTTAGTTTGTCTTGGCACTGAAGAGGCACTTTCGAGGATCAACCTCTGCCACTGGGTGGGGTGGGGAGAGCTGCCCTGGGTCCAGCGGGCGGTCTCCCAGGCTCAGCCCCGCGCCCTGGGGCCCTGTCCCTGGGAGGAAGTGCGGAATCAGCACTACGGGGCCAGACTTCCTCGTGGCTGCCACCAGCGAACGAAACTTTTGTATGATACATAAAGTGTTTGGGTCTATTTTTAATAAAAAGGGGGAAAGCAACGGAGGTGCTTGCTGTCCTGACTTCCCTGGCTCTGCCCGCCCGGTGCCACCTGGCAGTGCCTCTCCTGCCACTACGGGGCAAGCACTGCTTTGTGTGGGGGAAGACCCCAGCCTGGGCTGTCGCCAGATGGTGTGGCCTGGCTGAGGTTTGCCTTAGCAAGTGGGACGGTTTCGAGGGGCATTCCAGTTGGGGCATCCAAGTCAGGTCATCGCTCCCAAAGTCCTTGGCGATGAATCCAGTGTTGTATCCCCAGGACTGGGCCCCTGGAAGCAGCTCACACTAGTACATGAGACAGGGGCTTTCTGGGGTCCCAGGACCTTTCAGCCTGGCTCTGTAGGGTTTAGGCGAGTTCATGGCCACACTTAGAGCTAAAAGCAAAACAGATGAGCCAAGTTGCTGCCCTGGCGTTGTAGGAATGGAACCACCAGCTCAAAAGCTCCCAGCATCATGGTGCCAACACCCAAGTGCATTCTGGGGGCCGTGATGGGAAACGCCTGTGGGTGAGTCACGGGATAATCACGCTGTAAGCTAACTTGCTTCCAGACTCTGGCGCTGACACTGCAGGACACCTGTTCCCTTTCTGGTGTGGTGTGAAGTGCCCAGGATGCAGTACAGAGCCAGGCAGCCAGGCTGGGCTCCACCGCCTCCCTCCTCCTGGAGGTCTCAGAACAAACAGGAGCAGTTCCAGCAGGTGGCGACTGGGCTCTGGGAAGATGGAAAGTTCAGGGGCTGGTACGTTTAGCCTAGACTGAGGCATCAAGAGGCTTCATAGAAGCCGTGAAGGCAGTAAAGCTCACGCCGGGAGAGCCAAGAGTGGGAGGAGAGGGGCATTTCAGGCCAAGAGAAGCCTGCTTCAAGTGCACCAAGCTTGCTTAACTTGAGGAAATGTAAGTTCCCCGTAGCCGCAAGTAATTGCAGGAGCCATGACAGGAAAGAGGTTTAGGAGTCATAAAGGACTTGGGGAGTCTGGATTTCATCCCTGGGTTACTGCAGAAACTGCAAAACTCTAGTAATTTTTTTTCTTTTTTAACAAAGTAGAGCAGCATCCTCAAATGTTTTGTGCCCAAAGAGGCTCTACTATAAATGTTCAGGCTGAAGAAAGGACTTAAAAACTGCTCCTTGGGCTTGGAGCGCAGCTCTTCGAAGCTGGAGCAGCTTCAACTCCAGTTCGATCCCAGCCAGGGAGCTGACCCACAGGGCACAGACCTCCTCTGTTTCACCCACTGCTCCCCTCAGCAGTGTATTTTGATTTAAAAAAAAATAATAAAAAAATAAACTGCATCCTCTCAAATAAGCCATCGTGAACCTCAGAATGAACAGGTTGGCAGGATGAAGAGGCGATGCAAGCCACGAAAGAATGTCCGTCACCCTGACCAGCCACGTGATTGGGGGGATTCTGTGCCACCTTTTAGGGCTCATGCCTGGTGAAGCCTCCTCTCAGGCCACAGCAAGGGACCCAGAAACCTGTCCTTCTCCACCCCACATCTGGCCCCAAAGCACAAGAAGTCCTCTCAAGCCCTACGCTGGGATGTTGAGAGTCAGGCACAAACTGTCTGCTTCAAGCCCCACAAAGATGCCTTTTTCTCAACTGACTTTTAACAGATTCCCATTAGGTCAACCAGGTGTGATGGGAAAGATGTAAATGGCAAGGTCCAGTCCCAGTAACTTCTGGAAGAAGCAACTGTGGGTTAGGTCTGAGGTCCTGTTTGATCCCTAAGATCAGGCCATGGGCAGTACTGCCCACCACGGAAACCTGGGCAGGTGTAGCCTCCAGAAGCACCATCAGATGCCCTACAGCCAAGACGAGAATTGCCCAGTCCTGAGGGTGGAGATGGAGGAGAGAGAAGGGTTCCAGTCCGGCCTCCGCCCCAGGAGCCGCAAAGTCAGGCACGAACATCAGGGACAGTCCTGGCAGGTCTTAACCTTTTCCCCTCGCGTCCCTGTTCTCAAGGAGCCTACTCTGGTCCCAACAGCAATTGCTTCTCCCAGCTTCACCCACCCTACAGTCTTTTTTAGCCAACCAGGAAAGGAACCACTCTTATCCTGCAAGACTTGGGACGTTGGAAGCTATGCTTATACCACCAGCAGGTGGCATCCAAGCCCTCCACCCCTCGGCTCAGGAAATGGCCCAGGTGAAGCAACTAAGCTCTCCAGCTACACCTACAAAAATCTGGGCAGGTGTCAGAGCAGGATTACATGTGGGCCCTGCAAGCTCAAGAGCCGTCTACCTTCAGCCATACTGCTTAGAGTGTCCTCTTACTCTCTCCGTCTACAAACTAAGGATGTTACTATGTCAAGAAGGTGCTGAGTTCACGTGTGCAGTGTGGAGCACATTCAGGTGAAGTGCTTCCATTAAGGGATTTGTAGGACTTGCTGAGAAAGAGCGACGCTTCCTGACTTCCCCACCAGGGTAGCTGATTGGTGCCCAGATGGGAGAGGTCTCGGTGCGAGGAGGCAGCCAGCGCTGTGTAGCACTTCCCGGCCGATGCCCTTTTAACATTGCACTGCTAGTGATCGGTGTAGACAGTAGCACAATGTGAAAAGAGCGCCGGCCAGCAGTTGGGGCGCCGGCCCTGCCTCCCCCTCGCCCCTTTCCCAGTCCCTGGCCCACTCAGCTGTCTTGGCCTCCAGCTGCCCTTTCCCACCTTCAGCAGTTTTTCTCCCTTCGGTCTCAGCGCTAAATGATCTCATCTTGCTTCTTCCTCAAGCTCCTCTAGCAGACTACCTTCAAGTCTCGAGGTAGGGGGTGGAGGCAGTCTACAGGAGGTACACCTTGCACTTGGCACTCAGGCTTCACAGGAAGCCCCCAAATTTAGGGGACACGCACACGAAGCTGTGTTCATCTAGATTCGGGGCTGGATCTGGGGGGAGAGGAGCTGTCTGCAGACCAGGGCCACAGAACCTTTCACACTTCTTGACCCTAAAGCTCTTTCCTTTCCAGTTTAGATAAAGTGCAGAGGGAAAGTGGTCTAGACCCCAAAGGCAACAACCTCAGATGACTCCTCAGGGCCAGAGGGTTGGGGGTTCCCAGGCAGCACAAAGAAGCTTCCTGGTCTGGAGGTGGAAGCTGCAGCTACTCTTGCAGGTCTTCAAAAACCACATTATGGGTCTGGCATTAAACAAAATAGAGTAATTCCCGCTCCCTGCCAAGCCTCGGGCACAGGCCCTGGGCAGTGGGGTTAGAATCTTAATTGTAGTCATCTTGTCCAGGATTCCTATTAAGGAATGGAAAGGCTCCCTGAGACCCCCCCCACAGCATCCTATTCTAAGGGGCTTGCGCCCTGAGCAATACTGAGACTGATCACAACTCCAAACCAGACCCCTAGTCCGACACCTGGACAGCAAAGCGCCTCACCCACGAACCCCTGGGAGCCTAGGCCCAGAGCCAGTCCTGACCTGTTGAACTGTGTCCATCCCTAGGCGCAGAGGCTGTGAAGTGCGTCTGCCCTGGACTGAGGGATAGAGGCCTCCAGGGCCTCCTCCCCCCCAACCCCAGCAGAAGGGCTAGGGGACAGAACTCCAGTTGGGAGCATTTCCTCTGAGCTTCCCCTCCAGCCTCCTCCCACCCCCCTCAGGAAGCAGTTGGGGGGGAGGGTCTCTGACCCACCTTCTCAGCAAAGTTGGTTCCCATCACCTGCAAACACCAGGCCCCTATGCACAGTTTGCATAGTTCTGTTGGACGGAAACCAAGGCCCGCTAGGGTCAGTCACCAGGCCTCTGCTCCAGGCCTGGGCCAAACGGCCCTGGCTGGGAACTTGGCCCTGCCGACGAGGGCCAGCAGGGCCCAGGCAGGACTGCCCCACAAGCTTCCGGGAGGCCGGGAAAGATTCTTCACCAAGGAGTTCCCAGATCTCTCCGGAGAGATAAGGGAGTGGGGGCTGGGACCAAGATCCCCTCCGCTCGCTCACACCCAACTCATTCCAGAGCCGGCCCTGCCATTCACCAGCCAGCAGGGCCCCTCCCCCACCTTGGGCCCAGGAGCCATCCCCCAGCTCTTCCAGAGGCGGGTGTAGAGACCGAGGAGGAAATGGGGGAGGGGAGGCCTCGGCTCAAGTTCTCTCCACTCCCCCTCCTCATTGGCCACCATCTTCCGGCCCCTGCCCCCCAGAGCAGCAGGGGAAGGGGCCCAGCCTGTGGAAGGGAGAGAAAGGGCAGGTGGAGGGTTAGCCGGAGCAGCAGGAGCAGGGGCCGGCCCCAACTGTCTCCTCCCACCCCTTCCCGCAGCCATGGCGACGGGAGGAGGAGATCAGGAGGGTCCTGAAAGCCAAGTTCTGTGAATGGGATGAGCGGGGCAGGGGGCCGCGCGGGGGCGGGGGGCGCTCTCCCTCAGCACCCAACGGTGACCCCCCACACACACCCCTCGCGCTAGACCACACACGCGCACACCAACTCTCAGCCACGCCGCCCCACTCCGCTGCACTCCACACTCCCCCAAACAGCAAGCCGGACCGCGCGCCCAGCTCCCCCGCACCCCCACCGCCCCGCCAGACCCCACAACTCCGCTCAGGAGCGGGCCTCACACCCACACGCAGCCCCTGGGCTCAGCCCGCAACTTCTCAAGATGCAGAACTCCCCACCCGGCCCCGGCCAGCCCTCCAGTCCCCGCGCCCCCACACCCCCGCCCGGCCACAGCCCTGCCCACCCCTTCCCCACCACACCCCCCCTTGGAAAATGACAGTGGGGCTGCCCCGGCAGGACGAACCCCGGCTTCCCAGCTGCAGTTGGAAGGGGAAAAGGACAGAGATGCCCGCGAGTGCGAGAGAATGAGAGGGAGAGGCAGGCGAGAGACAGAGCCGGGCCACCCCTCCCCGAACCCGGAGAATAAAGCCGAGTCGGCGGCGTTACCCTTCTGGGCGCTGCGATGCTACACACCGCTCGTCGTTACGTTCCTCTGCCCGCCACCTCCTTCTTCCCGGGCTCTTTCTCTGCCCTTCCCTCCCTCTCGGCTCCCCTCCCCGGCCTCGCTCCCCACCTCTCGCGCCCTCCCGC